CTGAATGTCAAACCGCTTTATAGAATATCTCGTTTATAATCATAAAATATCGAAGTCCCCAATCATTTCCTATATAACCAATAGCAAAAAAGCCTGTTTACTGTCATAGAATAATGTCATAATCCTGGTTTTTGTCATAACCAAATTCACCAAAATTGATTCCAGGAATAACTTTTGCCCGTAACGGTCGGCCAATCGTTATGGCTCCCGGGCCGAGCATTGGTCATGCGTGGCAGATTATCACAACCCGGTCAGCGCAGAAGGCAACGTGTTTGTTTGTCAATTACCTGCTCACCTGAGATCTGATCACTGAGTTACTCACACACTCAACACCAACACCGGATTCTCCACCTGCCTCCTGGTGCCCATCGCTTCCCTACCCTCCTTTAATAAAGCCTGCTTTTCCTTATCCTTTCCCCGTCTCCTCTTCGTTTGGGTCCACAAATACACTCGGTGGCCATCACAGGGCTCAAGAAATCTCTTGACCTCATAGATGGTCAGGCTGCAGAGCCGGTAAAATAAAGCTGCAGCAACGAATCAATTAGTTGTCAACCATGAAATACATCAGCATCTATTATGATAATAAATGAATGGGATTGAGTTTGTTTTTTAAGGACAAAAGTCTAAATTCTTTGATTCTTCTTCAATGTGAATATTTTCTGTTTTTTTCTCTACTCCATGACAGTAAACTAAATATCTTTGTGTTGTGGACAAAACAAGACATTTGGGGACGTCATCTTGGGCTTTGGGAAGCTTTCGTTTAACATTTTCATGCTTTTTATAAACCAAACAACTAATTGATTAACTGAGAAAATACCCAACAGATTACCAAAAATAACAATAATCACTAGTTGCAGCCTTAAATTAAAATAATCCCTCCTCGCAGCCTTAAAAAACAAAAAACATGAACCAAAGCTTCCCATGAGAACAAAGACAAACTTACAACCAGCACAACTAAAAGTGAACAACATCTGTACGTGCTGTTCTCTGATTTAAAACAGAAAGAACTCATATTTTGACACGTTTACAAGATTTCTTGATCCGTTTGGCCTGTTCGTCTTGTTCCCGTCTTTAACTGGCGAAAATATTGACAGCAGAGACGTTGCCAGTGCAGCTGCAACAATGACTGAGTGAAAACAGGTTGCAGCAATCTGAAGAAGACAATACAGTGTCTAAAACTCAATGTGACGTCCACAGAGAGTTTGGTTTAAATGACACCAACTGACTAGAGGCAGAATGTGGAAAATAGATTCTTTGCATTCCTGTGCTCGATGCGACAGAACGGGCTGGAGGTTCGTTTTGGTTTATCCCAGCCGGGCATGAAGGGGTTTCTGCCTGACAACAGGACAAATAGTAATGAAAGATGAGCTAGAGAAGAAAAAGGTGCATGTAGAGACCGAAAAGACTCCAGTTTCCACGACCAAATCCCATCAGAAGACAAACACGCTGCAAAAACAATCCAATCAGGCGACCTGTGATTGGTTTATTATCTAAATGAGCTGGATTTTCCTCCGTGGAACCTGAGAGCAGGGATTTTTTCGGGCACACAAATTAACCTTAATCACAACATTTAACTCTGTCAAACATAAGAGAAAGAAGACATAAAGGCAGGAAGGAGTGATGAATCTGTGGGAAAGAGGCCTCCGGCGCTGGCAGGTTGGAACTACAAGGCTCCGTGTGCAAATACAGCACGATGCCGCTTGTTGAAACACTGTCATCCAGCTATTAGCTCCATATATTTACACAACTTCACACACACTTCTGCACACGGCTGAACTCCTGAAAATCTGCACTTGACAGGAATATATTTGTGCTTACATCCATGTGTGATTAGAAAAGTTCTTTAAAGCCTGATTATCAGAATTTTTCTCTTTGCAATGAAACCCTATAAATGATGCAGTTTAACAATCAACAGCATCAACAATAAAAATCTGCATCATTAAAAAAATAAACAAATAAATGCATCGATTGTTCTTTCCTAAAATGCTTCATTTAATGTTCTCCTGTATCAATACATCACCAGTCATTGTTGGCTCCAGTCACTGATCAGCTGCAGCAGACTCTGACTCAGTTTAGTTTTAAAGTTTGCAAAGATCCATC